CCCCAAAACCCCAAAACCCCGTGAAGATTACTAAAATTATGATGAATCATTAAGATTAATAAGATAGTTAAAACTTAAAAGATTTCAAAATGGAACATAATGAATCTGCATGTACAATTATTGAGACTAAAGAAGCTAAATATTAAAGAGTCTACAAAGAACTATAAACTGCACTTGAAGAGAACGGTGGGGATAGTGCTAGCGAGCAAGTGAAACAAAAGACATTATGCTAAGTCGTATCAACAAACTTTAAGGATTTTAATTTTGTTGGGTTCTATGATCTCAAGGAAGAAGACAATGAGAAGCTGTACATTGGAGAATTCGTTAGTGAGCTTGTATTCCCATGTGGTGAAATTAAAATGGGAAAGGGATAATGTGGACAATGTGCCTCAGAAATGAGAGTCATGATTGCAAAGAATGTGAAAGAGTTAGATAACTATATTGCTTGTGATGATGATACCCAGTCTGAAATCGTATTGCCTTGCTTCGTAGGTTCAGAACAAAATCGTAAACTAAGAACGGTTTTAGATATTGACAGCCCTAACCTTGGGACTTTTGATGAAGAAGATTAATAGGGTCTAAATCAGTTGATCTCATTGATCTACCCATGAACATGCTGAAGAGATACATCTACTTTTGGAGTAAATGTCATTTCTGAACTTTGTTCTATTTATCTAAAATCTTAATGGTTAATTCAATAATTTAAGCAATACTAATATGAGGTTGAGTCAAATTAATTTAATAATATATTATATTATAAAGCAATAAAATGATAATCCCTGTTAGATGCTTCACATGTGGCAAAGTAATACTTAATTTGATATAACTTTGAGCATCGATTGATAAAATTGAAATAGGTCGTAGGTAATAAATGGAACAAGTATCTAGATCTCTTAGAGCAGGAAGGTTTCGATCCATGGTAATTGATTATACATATTATATGATCTGAGTATTGACACAATTTGTAGCAAAGCGCTTGATACATTGGAACTGAAGAGGTATTGCTGCAGAAGAATGGTTCTCACTCACGTTGACTTGATCTCTAAACTGCTCAATTACAACAGTAAATACCCTACTTATAATCAGAGTCAAACTCTATAATTATAGTTTATGAACATGAGAGAGATTGAGCAGGAGCCTTAGACACATTGTTCTCACTCATAATCTTTAATGAATAGTATTTCTCAGTTTAATTAACCTTATCATATTGAATTACAAATTTAATTAAAAGCTTAATTAATTTCTTTTGATTTAGTAAAGTAAATTTATAATAAGTTAGTATTTAATTTTGTATTTTAATGACTTCAAACTTTTTAAATCGATCACAATTATTCAACTCTCACTCTATCGGCAAATAAAACTACGATTCAAGTCCAAACTATAGGATGACTCAGAACAATAATCCCTATAATAATCTTGGTACTCTTAATGAATCGTTCTCTATGGAGTCTAATTAATCGAAGAAAAGAAAAAGTAGGAGGTAAAAGTCAGTAGTAAATGAAGAATAGTTATTTGGGGCTTAAAATCGTAAAGATCGAACGAGCATAGTCAGTACAATACTGCAGAAGAGCATGCAAAGTCAAAATAGCCATAACACATCCATGGCAACTGAGAGTAGACAGAATACCTTCATTTAGAATAATATCACCATTAATATGAACCGAACATATGGAAGTACTGCTATAAGATAGCACCAAAATACTCATAATGTTAATTCTTTTGATGGGTCAAATAGTGGAGGTGCAAATGGAGGCTTAACTGGAACAATAGGTGATGAAGTATTTGAATTTTAAAGATCTCAAAAAGTGTCATTATCTAATTAGATCTTGGAAGAAGAAGAGGAGTTCAAGGATATTAATCTAGAGGGGTAAGATAATAATCACTAAGTTGATATAAGTGGGTCTTAATATCAAGATAATTCAAGGTAAAGCTAGATAAATGGAACTCCGAACAAGATTAAAAAAGATAAGATTGTAGTAACTGGCAAAGCGCACAAACACATTAAGAAGGATAAAAAGAGAGGCCAAAGCAAAGAGGCTAAGATTAATCAATCCCTCAGTGTTAACAATATAATGAGTTAGAATAAAGAATAGCCATTTGGACCGGCAAGCATTCTTAAAACTTTTCTTAAAGGGGATGCTCATGCATGTAAGTATGCATTACAGTTTTAAATTATAATATATAAATTCAATCCAACTACTTCCGATTATGACTTATTAATATAGAAAATCCAGAGATTGTTCTTTAAGGACAAAGTTTTGAGAACTAAACAATGGGTAACGCTTACCAGTGTCGTATATGTTTAGAAAGAATTACAAATATCTTCACTACCTCAGATGTTACCTCGCCATGCAAATGCGCTGGCTCAGTTAAATTCATCCATGTCTAATGTCTAAAGTAATGGATAAAATCTAAGGGCTCCATTTAATGTGAAATCTGTCATACTCTTTATTCTCAACAATGGATCGAATGGGCCTTTGAAAAGAATTATATAAAGTAATTACTCATAATAATCATAATAAGTCATTTAGATAACCGGATACTGATAATTACGATGATGAAGATGATGAGGGAATGGATTTACTTGATAGAAACTTGGACTCATTCAAGTTCTTCTTTATTTTGCTATCTCTGGCAGGTCTCTTCTTTTTCATATCTAGCTTTCTTGTTACAAACCCAATTTTGACAAATATCCTGCTTGACGATCCTCTATATCTTATATTTAGGATAGTGATCTTCATAGTATTCTTAGTCTCAGCTGCCTTTGGTATAAAATGGAGAAAAATGCTTGCTTCTAATGATAAACAAGCAAATGGAATGAATATGAGTTTGCAAGAATAGATCATTTAAGTACAGTCTGGCAGAATCCTAAATTTAATAGAAAAGAGCAGAGGAAGAGGGCAAGAGCTATTGGAGAAGCTTTAATAAAATAAAGAGGAAGAGACTTCTTCAAGATAACTTATTGGTTCAAGCGACTTCAGTAGTAGGATTTAACCAGACCTTTCTCATTAAACCAGCTCAAGTTAAAACTTTCACTTATGAAAAGCCAAGTATAATCACTTTCATTAATGCAGTTCACTATAACCTACTAGTAATGGAGGCTTATCAATAATAGTTTTACTATATAATTAAGGCATTTTAAATTTGGGGATATCTAATACATTTCAACAATAAAGATGTCTTTTACTAAATTAATTTGTAATTAAATTCTTCGATTTTTTAATATAATTGTAAATATGGGGTTTTGGGGTTTTGGGGTTTTGGGGTTTTGGGGTTTTGGGG